TAACCCCCTTTCAAATACGGTCCAAAACCTGGAAATTAACATACATACAGGTTGGACGTGATACAGAAGAACGTAATAGCTCATTTGATAAAAATATGTTACCTACCTAAAATAATTCGCAGGCACAAACGACTTTCCAAAGGGAAGTTTTGAACTTTAAAACTACAAGCAAATAATCATCAGCTTATAAACTTAGATGTTACTAATTCATTAGCAATATGTGGTTTGGCAGTCTATCGCAAAAATCCTCTTTCAAGCTCTACAGGCAATCGACGAATTTTCACTCAAAAAAAAAAACAAAAAATAAAAACTATCTCGCTCAGGTGCGACCTTCCAATTTACAAATTAAAAAAGTTTTAAACATTCAACAAGAAAATAAAAAACAACAATTTATTTTGTCTTAAAATATATACACTTTTCTATATAAAACAAAATAATATTTACTATTGTCGACACACAAGTTTTTCAATATCATCAATGTGTTTTGGGCATTTTCTACTAAGCACGACAGGTCCATTTACAGTTATCAGAACGTCATCCTCTATTCTAACTCCAATTCCTTGATATTCTTTGGGCAGTAATTTATTTTTTTCATTTATATAAATTCCTGGAAAATAAAGGTATCCATGTTAATGCACTTCAAAGACCATAACAGTTATAATTATACCTTGAAGATACCAACTTGGTTGACAGAAAGTGAAGCAAGAAAGTTTGTAGAAGAAATTTTCGACTATTGTCGACCATCAACTATCAATTCAACTTAATTAATATCTATCGAGAGCAGTTACTACCAGCGCTTTCCCACCAAAAATAGCGTTTACTTTTCGAGGCGTTATTATTCAATATTTTTGAAATTTGCGTTCAACAAATTGTTATTATTACATTCAACCTGATGATATCTAGCACTTGAGTACGAGGCAAACCACTTTAGTGCAATACCTCTGATACCACATCTTTCTAATTTATATAGGAGGATGTCATGATTTACACAATCAAACGCCTTAGAAAAATCTATAAACAGCCCTAGCACTGAGCTTATTGTCGAGTGATTTTGAGACTTTATTAATGAACATGGATAGGGAATTGCATTGATTCTATTTTTTGTAAATGAATGTTGACAATTAGACAATCTATTATAAGTATTTAAGAAGTTTAATAATCAGTCGTTGACACCTGCTTCAAAAACTTTTCCGTTACGTGAACATAGAGTTATTGATCTATAACTCTCTATATTTTCTTCATGACCCTTTTTATGCAAAGGAATAACATGCGCGATCTTTAGTGTAATATGCCTTGTTGAATCGACAGATTTATTAGGTATGTTAGAGGTGTAAGTATTGTTTCAAAGTTTGCTTAAGTAAGGCATTTGAGATCTCGTCGTCGCATCCTGAGAACTTTGATTTTTTTCATATTTGCAATGACATTCTTTACTTCAAGACATTCCACAGGTGCAAAAAAAAGGGGAGTTTTACGAAATTCTTATGTTTGATTGAATATATTCGTAATCAATATAATTAGGCAGGGCAGTTCAGTCGTCATATTTATTGCCATAGATGTAAAAAACGTATCGAACTCAGCACAATTTTCTGATTCCAGACTATTACCCTCAGTTCTATGTTAGTGTGTTCTTTAGCTTTACGGCTAGTGGTAGTATTAACAATATCCTAAATAGTTTTATTTTTGTTGTTAGAGAGTAATACCTTGGTTTGGTAACAAAAAATGTTCTTTTATTCTCAGCCAAGGCAGTTTTAAATTCTTCATTTATTTCTCTGAAAGCATCTCTATACTCTGGTTACACCCTACTGAGATCCCCATACAGAGATACTCTTTCCCTCAAAAATTTATAATTTCTGGAGTCATGTTACTAACACGGTTCTTTTTTTACTATGTATTTTCTAGTTGGAAAACAATTTTCAAAATGATAATTCATTAGTTTCATGAAATTGTTGAAGGCAAGTTCACAATCTATTTCACCATAGACATTAACAATTATGTTGTCAATTAGAGTGGAAGAGAGAGAAGTAATTTTGTTGGTTCTTTTATAACAGGTATGGTTCCATAGGACAATAATAGATTCATGAAAGAATATTTGGAGGAGTAATCACTTAACATGTCAATATTCAAGTCTCCACTAATAATTTTTTTTTTCAAAGAAATTAAAAAATCGAGCCTTGCGCCAAATTTAAAAAAAAATTGAGGGGGTCGATAAATACATGCAATTACAGTGTTGAGGTTTCTCACTTCGATAACACAGCAATATTTACTACCAAGAAGTTAGTTATTTCCTTCAGCATGTTGCATTTGTAGCCATTCTTGATATAGCGACAGAAATCAGCACTGAGACTATAATTTTCAAAGCTGATGACGGATTGTCAGTGTTCACTAATTAGTAGAAAATCGGGTTTATAATCTCAAGTTGAAGAATTTTGTTACCCAAGCACTAGATGTTCTGGTGAATAATTAAATTTTTATGAGTACTTTTTTGTTGATCTTTATATGTTTTCCTTAGTAGTCCAAGTGGTCGCTGTATTCCAACCTCGGGTAGACATTATCTAAGATGTCCTTGGTAATTTTTAAATCTTGTGGTTTTTGCGGATTGTTAACATTTGTGTGTGGCTGTTCAACTCTCTGAGTAAATCCACCATTGGTTCTGACAGCCCGAAAGTTCTAGTATTGACTTACTGATATAAAATTTTCCACTTCTATTCAGTGGGATGCCATCACTCATGTAGTTAGATTTTCTCAGTATATTGTTGCAGTCCAGAAATAAAGCATTATGTATTTTAGATAGATAAAGCAATTTGAGACGCATTTCTAATTATTTTTATAAATAATTTGGTTTATATTTCTTGAGTTATATCTATAGGGCTGTGATATTATAATTGAGCGAGTATGTTGGGATCTCTGAAGAAAAGTGTCAATTAAGTTTTGAATTCAATGTGTTCGGCCACAGAAAGATGGTGTCATTTTCAGTAAAATATTTAGAGTTCTCAAGAGCTGTAGTGATTAATTTGTCGTCGCTGGCAGGTTTCAAGAGTGATTCCAATACAAAATTAGAAGTCATGTTGTTTATATAGATAGATTATTGTGTACCATGAGATCCAAAGACCAGTAATGATCTATTTACACTACGATTGTAATTTGCTGTTGAATTGTCTCTCATTATGTATTTAGAGATTATTTTTAGTTCCGAGGTAATTTCCTTCGATTTATTGACGTTTTTTGTAGAAACTTCTGTTATTTCAGATCCTGAATTATTGTTGAATACCTTATCTTCTTTATTTTTTTATCAGCTCCCAGAATTGAATATTCTGTTTTCAAGTTATTGATTTCCGCATGGTACTGGTTATTTGCCAGGTTCAGAGAATCAACTTTTTTCCCATATTTTCGCAATCGGCATTCATTATCTTTATCTTTTCTTGAAAAATATTCATTTGAGTTGTAGCCTCGATAACCTTATTTTGAAGTTCTCTATTTTCTTAATGAGATCTATTTTAATTCTTTGGTAAGATTAGCGTTTACTTCTTTCAGTTCTTCCATATATACTTCAATCAGATTGTAATTTTTTTCACTCTGACGAAGTTTCTCAATCCTTTATTCCTAAGATCCATTTCAGTTATATGTTTCATCAATCTCTCACTAGTTTTTTTCTCTGATTGTAGTTGGGCAAAAAATTTTTGTCTTCTCCAACATCTCGTCCTCAAAATCTTTTGATGTTCTTTGAATTCGATATTTGTAGCAGTTTTTTCATTGATTTCTTTCCTTAGTTCATCAATTTGAACTTGCATTTGTTGAAGTTTTTCTTCGTTTTCAGTCCCAACCAAGTTATGTCACGACGTTTCGATTGTTAGTATCCACAATCGTCTTCTGCACAAGAAGCTGAGGTGAGTTTCTTTTTTGGTAACCTTGACCATAGTCTCATATCCTCGGAATAAGTCGCTGGTTCCGGGTGCGTACCGGGTATTCAACGTTTGTTTGAAGGTGGTTGACAATGTTTCGTGGTGTATTTTCAATCTCTATTAAGATCGGTTCAGGTTTCTTAATAATTCTGTTGAGGTCCTCATGTGAACCTTATAAAAGATATCGAAGGAATTCCTGGGTGTCCTGATGGGAAGAACCCATGAATCGCGGGGCAAATCTTTGAATCTGACCTTTAAAGTAGACCGTGTTAATTACTCTATCAGATGAATCTTCTGACCACAATTCCTTGATAACTTCTGCAAACGCTTTGATTAAAACACATTTCATTATTGTAGTATTGCAATTGGTGTACAATGAAATCAACAGCGGTGAAGCCACTGCAGCAGTGCTTTGTGACTTATCCAAAACTTTTGACTGTGTCAATCACAGCAAGATATGGTTTTAGGGACAACAGTCATATTTGGATCACTTCATACCTTTCTGATAGAAAACAATTTGTAAGAACGTTATCTAACTCGGACGTTGGAAAGATAAATTGTGGAGTACCTCAAGGCTCTGTATTAGGGCCTATACTGTTTCTGTTATTAATTAATGATTTAACCAATATATCGATTACAGGAAGCTTTACCTTATTTGCTAGCGACACCACATTATTGTGGCATGACAAGGACAAAAACAGATTACTAACAAAATGTGCCAAGACATGAAAAAAGTGAAGAATTGGTTTGACTCGAATCTTTTATCATTGAATACCAACAAAACAAATATATTAACATTCAAGTGTAATATACCTGATCCTATATGGCCTAATCCAATATGGCGCGGAGTGATGCACCCTTGAAAGAGCTCTGCTCTATAAATGATGGAAATTTTAATGAAAAAACGTTCAAATGTTGCCAAAAATCTACCAACGTTTTAGTGTGTGTGAAGTGTGGTTCAGTTTTTCATTTATCCTGTGCAACCAGGAAAAAGCAGAAATGTGAGAAACTATGTGATATAAGAATCATCTGCGAGGTGTGTCAAATTTCGCAAACTAATAAAAATGAAGACCAAGTTAATCAAGAAGAAAATGCACTTATATTGAAATCAGAAATCGGCTTCCTGAGGAAAATATTATTGGAGAAAGAAGAAAAATATCAGATTTTACTTGAAAACAATAAATTGCTAAAGAGAACGAATGAACTGCTTGAAGAAAAAATCAAACAAAAACCATGTGAATTTCTGTTAAAGGAAGTTGACCTTCAAAAAAGAAAAAAAACACAACCTACAACAGTCATGAATAACCTAGACCAGGGGTCTAGGTTAGCATCAGATGAGTCAACGGATGTGTTATTAATATGCTTAAACTTAGATACTTAAGTTAAGTTTTCTTTGTCATCATTTCTGTCGTTAAGTTGTACCTTGCAAGTAAACAAAACCGAGTAATTATCATTCTGTGTTTTCTTCTTCAACTTATCACAGCAATAGTAACAACAATTAGGTAATCATTGGCTGTTGCGGGCCAGATTGATGACAGTAAATCATTGGCTGTCGCGGGCCGGATTGATGACACTGGCGGGCCGGTTTTGGCCCGCGGGCCGTAGTTTGGAGACCCCTGTATTAGACAATGGAAGTCTGAACTGATGAAATACACCACGAAACATTGTCAACCACCTTCAAACAAAAATTTTTATCTTCTTCAGTCTT